TGCACACGTGGTTCTTTAATGAAAGTTGTACTTGCTCCTCTACTCTTTCTGTCGACTCATGCCGTAAGGTGTCGAGGGCAGATGTAACTGCTGGACGTGGGCCAGGTGTTCTTATCTTTATAATAGATAGCATTTGTATAGCGCAAATCCCCGCTCAACAGCAAGCTCTATGCGTTTCACAATCTATACTATTACCCCAGCAGATCTGAGAGCATTCTGAAACAAACTCAACTTCTCAGGAAGCATACAGTGCAAGTGGCCATTTATAGGCGCTAAAACACTTTCCTACTGACAAGATCTTTCGTTATCTATGGCCGGGTACCCATTCCCACCTAGGTGAAGTGAGGAAAATACGTGCAAAGCGCCTTTCCCAAGGACACAAGGTCCGGCCCGCGGCTCAAACCCCCGAACCCGCCAACCTCACGATTACGAGCCCGGTAGCCTAACCACACTTTTCTGGCCGTTGAAAAACATTTAAAAAAGGAATGTTTTTTAAAATCATTTTGCTGTCCTTCCTGAGAGTATGGCCGATCCATCGCCACTGGTTTCTTCCTACCTCCTGACTGGGATCTGTCTTGTTTTCCTTAACACTTCCACATTGGTGACCCTGTTTGTCCATCTGATCCCACGGGGTGCCCACTACAGCTGGATCGGGCCGATCGCCCGACTCGATCGCCTGAAACTGAAAACAAACATGTTTGTTTTTGAGGCGATCGAGTCGGGCGTTCGCCTCGATCGGCCGATCCCGTCCGTAGTGGGCACCCCGTAGACACCTGTTCAAGAAAACATAGATCCTCTTTATACAAGTCTGTGATGTGTCCCATGTCTCACACCCATACAACAGGACCGACTTCACATTTGAATTGAATTGAAAATCATCAGCTTTGTTCGAAGTACTAGGTTGCTAAATGTAACAAGTCGAAACTTGGAGGACATACAACAGATTGAAGTTAAACGAACCATACGACCGAAATATTTTTTTCCCTAGCCCACAGTCATTGTTTACGCAATTTGATGTTACTGATCATCTTTGTTGGAAATGGAAAAGAGATTTTTTTTAAAAAGCCAACAATTTTGGAGTTATTTATGACAGCAATTAATTGTCTATGCAACACCAAGTCCAAAATCTATGTAAGGCGGTATAGTTAGAGATCCGAAGAATTGCACAAATGGCATATTTTCTTAGCGAGACATTCGTAAGACACTGAGTGATATCATCTTCTGTATTATCTCGTATTGAGTATTGCAACTCATTTCTTGTAAACACATCAACAGCATTAATATATGTAAATAAACTAGAAAGACTAGAGCTATGCCACGAGGGTTGTTCGCAAGACCTATAGAAAGCACATAAACACCATTGTTTTTACATCTAACAGCTCTGTCATAAAAAGAGTACAAATTTAAAGGACAATAACTGGATCACGTTTTGGCCAATTTCATCAAAACTTGGAACAAATAAAATTCAACTAGGGGGACGTCACATTTTGTCAATATGAAAAAAAGTCAACCAGGGTGTTCGATATATCAAATTTATTACAAGGCCTAGAGTGCCCATATTTGTTGAGGAACATCGTGTGTTATTGGGGATTTGAAACCAATATTTCAAAAATATATTGTGAATCGGCTACTATGGAAAAGGTTGCCACATTGGATTTTGTATACCTTTTTCAATTCCATTTTGTTCCCTTTTTTATTAACTGATTCACTTTTAATTTGGCGTGCCAACAGTAAACATGTAGCTCTTAATTTTGGCTTGTTGAATTTTTGATATATGTTTTAGTTTTTATTTTATGACACTTACAATTGTGTTGTTTTTTAAAAAGTGACAAAAAAGGAAAATTCATTCTTTCTACGCGCATAAATCAACAACTACTTCATTAATACAAAATTCAATGAGCCAAAATTTAAAACTAGATGTTGTTGGTATCCTGTGAAAGCTACATTCAAATTGAACTAGAAACAGAGCAGAAAATGGGATAATGTGTGAAAAAATAGAATTGTGAGAAAACAGCCGATAAAGGTAAGAAAAGGCTGGAAAACATGACGTGTGCTTTCGCAGAAAAACCTGTTAAAAAAAAACACAGCTTGGGGGGGTGTAGCAAGGCTTACATACGTTTCTGGATATTGGTCAGAAAATGTCCAGGTACTTTAATATGTAACAACCCCAATTTGCATAATTTGAACTCAAAACACGATTTCTAGGTGCCCCACCAGCAAAGGTGAGAAACGCAAAGACTTAACAGGAACGATGTGTGTGCAGTGGTGTGTGTGTGTGTGTGTGTGTGTGTGTGTGTGTGTGTGTGTGTGTGTGTGTGTGTGTGTGTGTGTGTGT